AGGGAAGGGAAGGGAAGGGAAGGGAAGGGAAGGGAAGGGAAGGGAAGGGAAGGGCCTTGATGAAGGATCCCCAGCACACAGCTCAGCCCCAACCCAGCCTGTCCAAGCCCTCAGGACAACTGGCTTTAAGCCAAATTAACCAGTCTGGCTGTAGGGGCTGCAGCTGAACTTTCACACCTATATCCCAAATTCTTCTTTAAAAAGGTCTCTGGTTGCATTTTCAGCAGCTTTTTTTATTGATTTGTATCAACAGCTTGCAGCTATTTGTTTCATTTGAGGAGCAGAAGCTCTTCACTGCTCACTCCTAACAGTGGCACCCAGAAGGTTTTACACCACAGCACAGTGAAAAGCCAGCTAAAGGCTTTCCCACAAGAAATGCTCTGCTGGCTCTCACCTCCCCATGCTGAAAACCACTTCCACCCCTTCCCACACAGCTGGTCCAGATGGAAACCAGGCATGGCAGGGAGGTGGAGCTGGGCTGGGGGCTTGGTTTTGAATCCAGCCGACGGAAGGGGACCACACTCCCTATCTTGCCTTTTTACACTGAGCTCTCTTTATAACACTGTTTTTATTTGGACCAGATTATGCTTAAACTGTAAGGAAGAAATCCCCAGCTCCAGGGCTGAGATGAGAGTGGTTGTGCTGGCAGCAGCAGCGGGCAGAGCTGCAGGCAGGAGCTCGCAGGCACTGAGCTCAGCTCTGACCAGGCTCCCACCCGGGCATGGGGAGCCCTCCCACTCCCTCCTGGGGCAGGAAGCTCCTCAAGGCTGCTGGAACAGGGCTGGGCTGCTGTTCTTCATCAGAGACACTGTGAGGGACCCTGGGAATGGGCCTGCGAGCCCACTCCCCAGGCAAGGACTCCTCCAGCAGCACAGGGATGCTCTCTGAGAGCAGGAGAGAGGGGCCCTGAGGCACAACCACCCAGCTGCCCACCAGCCCCACTCCTGCTCCTCTGCTTGCCCAGCCCAGACACCCCCAGAAGGCCTGGAGGAGTCATTCTTACATCCAGCCTGGGGCTTTGGAGCAGGCATGGGCTGCACAGGGCAGGACAGCAGGGATGGGATCTCTCCCCAGCCATGCTTTTACTGCAGATGGCCTTTACCAAAAGACTGAGAGCTTTCTAGTTGTAAAATCCATTAAGGCTTCTCCTAGAAATGTAAACAAACCCATAAACCCCAAAGGCATTCCATCCCCCTCTCCCACCTACTCTGCTTACTGACAGCGCTCCAAACACGAGTGCTCTGCACCCCCTGCTCCCCGAGGCACACACGGGCTCCTGTTTCTCCCCACACCCCACTGCAGGGCACAGCTCTGCTCCCAGCCCCCCGGGTGCCCTTACCAGCTTCTGGGTGAGGCCGGGGGGAGCCCACTCGTAGGTGATGGTGTCGAAGGTGGGGTCCTTGCCCNAGGGGACACACAGCGCTGCATGGCCTGCAGGGGACACACAGCCATGCACTGCACGGGATACACAGTACTGAAATCATCATAACACAGGAAGAATGCAGCTAGCAGTGAGTCTGTGACACTGACCAGTTCCACCTGACTGCTGGTTTCACAGCATAGGGAAGGGTTTAGTCACAGATGCCCTGTGACACAGAGAGGAAATGCCCACAAAGTGCCCCAAATGAAGGCTGATTTAACACAACCTCAGCAGCAGATAAACCCCTCTCAGTCTGAGGCTGGTTAGTGCCCGTGGGCCTCGGGGGCTGCACAGTTAACTGCTCCTGCCCAAGCAGGGGAAGGGAGTTTCCCACTCCGGCATTTTCCTATTGTAGTGTGAAGAGGGACAGGGCAGCCAGTTGGCTCCCTGCCATTCCCTGCTAGACCAGCATCCAGCTGCGTTAAATTTGCTTCTTACTGGGTCAGCACTTGAGAACTCCAGCTTGAAGAACTTAGCAAAGAGATTTAACTGTTTGTGGCACACAGGCTGGTTCAGGCTGGGCTTTTCAGCACAGAAATGCTTGCCCAGCACTGAACTCTTCAGCACGTCTGGAAAAACTTCCAAGTGCTTTCCACCTTGGCTTCTCTGAGGCAGAGAGCAGTGCTATGGGCGGAATTCCTGACAGGAAATGTGCAACAGCAGCAGATAATGATTCCATAGAGGCAGGGCTTCTTCCTCCCTCTTGGGGTGCAAGTTAAATCACTGCACACTGGGATATCAGACATCAGCATGGTACATTGTGCCCCTGTGCAAGGCAGGGCTGATGTCCACTTTCCTGGGAAGGCTGCTGCCCTGTGGGACAAGGTGGAGTTTGGGAAGAGCTGCTTGGAGAGCTGTGGGGTGCTGGGCAGTGACCTGGTGCACAAATGGTTTTCACAGACCTGAGGAAAGCCAAGAGGAATGAGGAGAAAGAGACAAGGACTCCCTGACTGCTGCTTCCAGGCTCTGCCCCACAAGTGGACAGGAAACAACTGAACTGATGCTGTGAGAGCAGGACCACCAGCACAGCAGAGCTCCAGCAGAGCAGCAACGTGGGGAGAAACCTCAATCCACTGATGTGCCAAGACTAACGAACATTTACACCAGAGCAAGGGGCCAGCACGGGCACCTGGAGCCTCCTGGTCTGCCCCACCTCCAGGATCTTCATTCCCAACAAAATGTCTGTGCTGAGAGTGAGGAAAGCAAAGCCTCAAGGCTTTTTTAAAGGCTTACTTCAAGCCTGCTCAGGGGCAGGTTTCAGTATCTGCCCAGACAGGCAGTGAGATTTCAAGGGAATGCTTGAAGTTATAATTGCAGATGCCAATAAAAATGTGTCCAGAGAAAAGATTGGGGGAAAAAGTCGAAAAAGTTCAATCTGACACCAAAAACTGCCATGAAGAATAAGAAGAAGTTGCTACATCTGCTGCTATCACTTATTGTTATGGCCAGGGCTTCACTATGCTGCCTGAGTGCAGGTAATTTGGAGGAAGAGCATTTTAGTTTTCACTGCTCACCACTGGATCTTGGGGCTATTTTATGATCTGTTCTTTTCCCTGTCTCCAAGGACCTAAGTATCTGCTTCATGACTTCTGCAGGCACAGCTTAACGAGAGTGCTCTGAACTTCCTCCTATTATTGACCGTCCACTTCAGCACAACAAGGTTAAAAGGCATCCCAGGTTTGCAGCCTGCCTTCAGGAGGAAAGCCCTGGAGCCAGGCAGTTGTGCACTAACAGCCTTCTGGCCCAAGTCCCTTTGAAACCATCCCCAGAGTGGCTGACATCCAACACCTCTCCCCAAAGCTTGTCAAGCTGTTCTGCCAGCCAGAATTTATCAAGGTTGTCTCCAAAGCTCCTGCTCCTTGTTTACTTGAACCAAGAGATATTCCAGCCTGTCCTGGCACCATGAAGAGAC